AGGTGTACAAACAACACCGCAATTGAACCACACTCGTTTGCACATAGTCATACATATGAATGATTGTTTTCATCTCAGCCGATCATCCAATATATTTTCAAAAGCTTCCATAAGCTTAAGAAGAGTTAACTACGTCTACGGATTCCTATAAACGGTTTTGTTACAAGGTTGTTTTTCCAAACTTTCGAAGCACCCTGATATGGTAACGTTTGACACTGTGGGAACAAAAGTTGCATTTTCAGTATTTTAAACCAGCACAAAGTATCTAGATAGCGCCATTAATCACAACTGTTACACCGCTATAAACCTTTAACTCTTTCCATAAAGTAAATATTTGCATTTGGTTGGTTGAACTTGTAAATCAGGAACCAACACTGATCCTTGTGGTGTCTTTATTTCTCCAACGAATACAGCAGTTAACTCACATTTAGTCTTTTCAATACTGGATTAATCCTCGACTGGAGCGTACAGAATTTTGCCTTTGCAATGCTATATATACGTCTGTGTAATATAATTGGAATTAACGCTTTTGCAATTCCTAGTGAACGAGAATGGCATCACACAAATATACTCAGTTGGAAATAATCAGCTGAAAGTGTTTACATTAGCCATTAATCCATGTTCCTCATTTCTTTGTTCGCTCGGAGTACGTACAAGTGAAGAATACGTACTGTTCCGCCGTCCAGGTTAAGGCAGGAGCAAAAGGTTGGCAGTTATTCATAGTATTATAATGGTTGCCTTCATCAGTGCTCCACTACCTCGCAAAATGGTGGTTGAATTTCAACGTCATTTTCCACAACGACATTTTCCGAGAAGTATCACAAGGTAGAAAAATATGCTTTCGTGATTGCAATTCCAAATGCATCCTGTCTCTATTTCAAAATTGTGTTCCAGATAGTGATTAGGTGTTTTTGCCATATCGCTTGCTTCATGATTCTTGCAATCATCGATGTACAACCACGTTGCAGAATGTTGGTTGTTCAATTAGATTTTTTACAAATACAGAACTCAATATACTGCTCTGTGTCACATACATAACATACTTATTCTGTTACACGTTCAAATGTATTCTGTTTCAATCTTTTAATTAAGTTCCAACAATAAATTATCTACCTTGGAAAAAATACATTTTATTTTATTTTATTTTTTGATGAAAACGTTCTTCTCGTATGCATATTATTAGCTTATGCCAAGATAGAGCGTTTTCAAATATCGCCTTTGAGATATAACAAATACATTTTTGAGAAAATAATCTGTGACAATACCTTTGTTATACGAAATGTTGCAATGTTGTTTTTTTGTTTTTACCAAACAGGTTTTAACATAGGCAGCCAGCAAACACTCGTATCACAAAACAAGAAACATTTTAAAATATTAATTCAATTTGTATTTTATAATCACTGATTAATCACTGGTTAATTTAGGCCGCTCTTTAGGTTGGGTTGCCAAATATTGGAGACAGACACAAATTTAAAATTCCCAACAAATGTAACCCAACATATGTGACCACACTTTCGTTGCTGCAAACCATACTTCATGCACTTCTGCCAAATTTACAACCTAGCAATGTTTTAGTTGAAAAATTTTGTTAGATCTTTGTTACGCCGTTATTCAGTTACCACTCAAAAGTTTGCAGAAATAAATAGGCGAACAGCATTTCTTCAAAATTGTTCAAATTCACAATGGCGGAAAAATGAGATTTCGTCTGATCACTTTAAATCGGATCGCATTTGCCAATTTTTTAACGCAACGAAACAAAAAGTTTTCACATCACAGCCAAAAGACCGATATTCATAGCTTGAATAAAGAAAGTGAGATTTCGTATAATCTTAATACATACCCAATGTGCAATAACATGTCAAATTTGGATTACCTTATATTTGGATATACACTGCTATCACATATACTTACTATGGCCAGAAATTGCGGACATTGCTACTGAGCATGCTTGGACTATACAATCAAACATGGCCGCCACGCGGTAATAGAAATTATAGGAGTGTAAACAAAAAATTAAAAATATAGCTATTGGTATCCTCTATAACGAGTTTGCACATCTCGAGTTTGCTTCGGAAGAGCCGTCGTACTTAAATGCTACAATTATTTTATCCATATCTCACGTTTTGTATGTTCCATTTTAAAACTGCTTTCAGCGATACTTTGGCTAGTAGAAACTATATCATTTTGTCTAAATTTGCCCATTTAGCGATGTTTTCGTGCCCCCGTGCATGGTTCTTACGTTCTTGGCAACATTTGCACATCTCGGGTCATTTACAACACACACCATACTATATCCACGAAAAATTTGGGAGAGATACTCGTTGGTTCACTTGTTCCATTTTTATAATGAACACTGCGAATTTTAGTGAAGCTGTGACAGCATTTTTTCATGGCGAAAATTTTCACGGCAAAACGAAATTGAAGATAAACAAGGCCAATTTTAAGAATGAATCCTTCGAGTAACTCGGCCATGTTTAGTATCAAAATAAAGCTTAGGAACCACGCTATTCGAAAATATAAACAGACGTGGCCTGTGCCTATTCCGCTGGGGCAAGAAAGCGCTAGAATTTTACTTCCGGTTTTGTTAATGACGGGATTAATTCGGGAATATGAACATGTAAAGTCTATGTCTGACGTTCTGAAAGCATTGGATTTACATAAAGTCATAAATGTAATCAAAAGATTTCCTTTTCAACGAAAAGACGCCTTACTTATGTAAGGTATTTACATACAGCATTTATTTATCTACTGAACATTGCCTAAGTTATCAATTCGGGAAAAGCAAAATAATATATACATGTTATACTACACTGGCAGTGTCTGGCACCGACCGTAACTCGAGATTATATTTATATATACAATCAATGATTACAATCATGGATTTTTCTTTGCGCAATGACCCCTTTAGACCTTTAGCATCGCAAAATTTTTATGTTTTTTCTTTGCTCGCCGTCTCGTATAAAACCGCCGAAGAAAACAAGGGCAATTGCCTATAATCGAATAAATTGATATGTTTGGGGCTTCTCGTTTCGGCCATTTTATTTTGCTATTATCATACTGATGCACATTGGGAAAGGTCGTGCGCTATCAAATTATCATGAAGAAACCCGCTGAGCAAGACAGGCGCATGTCTCGAATTTCTGGCCATGTTTTCTCTCGACAACGTTTACTTTTCTCTCCTCCTTCACAAACGGGAACACAGCTCTAAAAATGTAAACCTAACTATACAATCTTTACTGTTTTCCAGACAACCAACAACTTTGGCAATTTCACGGTGTTGTTTTCCCCAAATCTTATTTAAACCAACATCAAGCACGCAACCCAAGTTGAAAATTAATATTCTTTTTAAATAATATTTTTTACCAAAGTAACAATTACAGAAACGTGGAATGATTGCGATAAGAACGTTTCCACACATCAAGATCATCAACAACCGGTAAGCCACTCTAATCAAACCAAACGTTATCTTGAAGAAAGTCGATTATAATTTCAAAATAGAATTCCGTACATTGTCTAACCTTTTAAACGCTCGAAGCAATTTGAGGGACAGAAAAAGGCTTTAAACAGGGACATTTTCAGTCAGTAGTCCATTCCACTAGATGGTAATACTATTTAAGCTTTTGGTTGGATTACAACTAAAAAGGACGACGTCATTTTAATGATACTAAAGCACTACCAAACCAGAAAACATCTCACGAGATTTTTCACTAATTTGCTTAATCTCATTCTTATGGAACTTCGCGTCTTCTCCATAGATGGTAAATGGACCCCAGATCCTACTGGATTGGTAAGCTTCTATTTCGTGTTTCTGAAAGAGGTTCTGTGTTCTTCTTAAAGCTTCACAAACTCTTGTTTCTTGGCAAAGTTCGCCATAGAATTTTTCCATAAACTCTTTTGTGGCACCATCGTCAATGGGCCATAGTGTGGCAAGAACACAGCGTGCTCCTGCAGCAAGAAAAGCCCGAGTTATACCTATGACACCTTCTGAAGTAGTTTCACCTTGCCCGGTATGGCAACAGCATAAAACTACCAAGCGAGCTTGCAAAGAAACATTTAGAATATCTCACTGTGTGAGAAGATATGACTCTGGCTTGGGAACAGCCAAACATGGTTGCACCTCGGAAGAGTTTGGCGCAAGCATTATTTCACCTTGATTTGGTTCGCCATGGGCAGCGATATGAATTATACTAGCTCCACTTAGATGTTGCAATACTACCTCTTTTCTTGCTTGGCGTCCTAAAAAAGGCCTAGCTTGGAAAAGCTTTGACAGACATTTAACTTCTTCAGCGGCATTAGGCAAGTCAGAGGGTGTAACGTCTTTTCCGTTTAAACAAACTCTTCCAACAGTTGGATTACCAACAAACAACGCAAAACCAAAGTTTGAGTCACAGGATTGTTCCATGGTACACTTCAGGGTATGCAATGAAGGTGTAATTTGAACGCTGTAATTGTTGGATAAATAAGAGCCATTTTCATCAATTAAAGCGCAAAACGGTGTGAAAAACAATTGCCGGTCAGGGACGACAATGAGCTTATTGCCGTTAACAAGATCTTTCACCGGATCAACTAAAAGTTTGAACAATCTTTCCAAAATTTCTCGATTACTCAAATCACTATAACAAACAGCAGTATTTTCAAACGCATTTTTAGAGAGTGCCTTTCCGTTTGCCATTTCAAATAGAAGAATCATTTGATTGTGAGTATTAACAACTGAATCGGAGTTGCAAAATGAAGAATTACGAACAACACTAACTTTTTCCCTCCCAAGAAGTTCCATAATTAGAAACTGAAATGTTTCCAAACATGCATCCAATTTTCGAAAGATAACTTCATCATTTAAAACCCACACATTAAGAAAAGCTTCCAAATCAAAAGCAAATACTAATACTGAGGTATCATTTTCTCCTAGATGAAGAAATGTTTTCATTTCTTCCGTTTCTCTTCGTTCCTCTCTGGCCTCGATTCTATTCCACATTACACATGCATAATCAAACATCTCCTTGTCCACAGAATTCTTATGCTTTTCAACACAGCAATGGAGCTCCTTAGCCCTACCAAGGTCAATGGCTAATAATGCGGATTCAATGCGTTCCAAAGAAAGGAAACAACTCATCAAACGTTTATGAGATACGAAATATTGTGTCGTGAAAGATACCTTATTTTGATCCGGAACGAAATCTAAAAACATTCCATCGTACAAACTAATTGACTTCACTAAGAATGGTGTCCCAGCTTCATACTCTCCAAGACATCGATGCGCATTTCCTAAATTGCTGAGGTTTATTGCTCTTCCTGGCAGATCGTCAATAGCAGTGCTTATTTCTAAACCTGTTTTGTAATGGTCAATGGCTTTCTGATATTCTTCTAAACTAAGATAGGCATTGCCCAAATTGCCATTGTTGCTTGCTATTCCTGACCGATCGCCAATAGCAGTGCTTATTTCTAAACCTGTTTTGTAATGGTCAATGGCTTTCTGATATTCTCCTAAACTAAGATAGGCATTGCCCAAATTGGCATTCAAACGTGATATTCCTGAAAGATCGCCAATAGCAGTGCTTATTTCTAAACTTGTCTTGTAATGGTTAATGGCTTTCTCATATTCTTCTAAACAAACAAAGGCAATGCCCAAATTGCCATTGTTACGTGCTATTCCTGACCGATCGCCAATGGCAGTGCTTATTTCTAAACCTGTTTTGTAATGGTCAATGGCTTTCTGATATTCTCCTAAATTAAGATAGGCATTGCCCAAATTGGCATTGTTACTTGCTATTCCTGACCGATCGCCAATAGCAGTGCTTATTTCTAAACCTGTATTGTAATGGTCAATGGCTTTCTGATATTCTCCTAAACGTCGATAGGCATCGCCCAAATTGCCATTGTTACTTGCTATTCCTGACCGATCGCCAATAACAGTGCTTATTTCTAAACCTGTTTTCGAATAGTCAATGGCTTTCTGATATTCTCCTAAACTAAGATAGGCCTTGCCCAAATTGCCATTGTTACTTGCTATTCCTGACCGATCACCAATAGCAGTGCTTATTTCTAAACCTGTTTTCGAATAGTCAATGGCTTTCTGATATTCTCCTAAAGTAAGATAGGCATTACCCAAATTGCCATTGTTACTTGCTATTCCTGACCGATCACCAATAGCAGTGTTTATTTCTAAACTTGTTTTGCAATGGTCAATAGCTTTCTGATATTCTCCTAAACTAAGATAGGCATTGCCCAAATTGCCATTGTTACTTGCTATTCCTGACCGATCGCCAATAGCAGTGCTTATTTCTAAACCTGTTTTGTAATGGTCAATGGCTTTCAGATATTCTCCTAAACTAAGATAGGCATCGCCCAAATCGCCATTGTTACTTGCTATTCCTGACCGATCGCCAATAGCAGTGCTCATTTCTAAAGCTGTTTTGTAATGGTCAATGGCTTTCTGATATTCTTCTAAACATGCATAGGCATTGCCCAAATTGCCATTGTTACTTGCTAATCCTGACCGATCGCCAATAGCAGTGCTTATTTCTAAAGCTGTTTTGTAATGGCCAATGGCTTTCTGATATTCTCCTAAACTAAGATAGGCATTGCCCAAACTGCCATTGTTACTTGCTATTCCTGACCGATCGCCAATAGCAGTGCTTATTTCTAAACCTGTTTTGCAATGGTCAATGGCTTTCTGATATTCTCCTAAACTAAGATAGGCATTACCCAAATTGCCATTGTTACTTGCTATTCCTGACCGATCGCCAATAGCAGTGCTTATTTCTAAACCTGTTTTGTAATGGTCAATGGCTTTCAGATATTCTCCTAAACTAAGATAGGCATCGCCCAAATCGCCATTGTTACTTGCTATTCCTGACCGATCGCCAATAGCAGTGCTCATTTCTAAAGCTGTTTTGTAATGGTCAATGGCTTTCTGATATTCTTCTAAACATGCATAGGCATTGCCCAAATTGCCATTGTTACTTGCTAATCCTGACCGATCGCCAATAGCAGTGCTTATTTCTAAAGCTGTTTTGTAATGGCCAATGGCTTTCTGATATTCTCCTAAACTAAGATAGGCATTGCCCAAACTGCCATTGTTACTTGCTATTCCTGACCGATCGCCAATAGCAGTGCTTATTTCTAAACCTGTTTTCCAATGGTAAATGGCTTTCTGACATTCTCCTAAACATGCATAGGCATTGCCCAAATCGCCATTGTGACTTGCTATTCCTGACCGATCGCCAATAGCAGTGCTTATTTCTAAACCTGTTTTGTAATGCTCAATGGCTTTCTGATATTCTCCTAAACATGCATAGGCATTGCCCAAATTGTCATTGTTACTTGCTATTCCTGACCGATCGCCAATAGCAGTGCTTACTTCTAAACCTGTTTTGTAATGGTCAATGGCTTTCTGATATTCTCCTAAACGTCGATAGGCATTGCCCAAATTGCCATTGTTACTTGCTATTCCTGACCGATCGCCAATAGCAGTGCTTATTTCTAAACTTGTTTTGTAATGGTCAACGGCTTTCTGATATTCTCCTAACCTAAAATAGGCAATTCCCAAATTACAATTGTTACGTGCTATTCCTGACCGATCGCCAAGGGCAGTGCTTATTTCTAAACCTGTTTTGTAATGGTCAATGGCTTTGTGATATTCTCCTAAACAAGCATAGGCAATGCCCAGTTCGCCATTGTTACTTGCTATTCCTGACCGATCGCCAATAGCAGTGCTTATTTCTAAACTTGTTTTGTAATGGTCAATGGCTTTCTGATATTTTCCTAAACATGCATAGGCATTGCCCAAATTGCCATTGTTACGTGCTATTCCTGACCGATCGCCAATAGCAATGCTTATTTCTAAACCTGTTTTGCAATGGTCAATGGCTTTCTGATATTCTCCTAAACGTCGATAGGCATTGCCCAAATTGCCATTGTTACTTGCTATTCCTGACCGATCGCCAATAGCAGTGCTTATTTCTAAACCTGTTTTGTAATGGTCAATGGCTTTCTGATATTGTCCTAAACAAGTATAGGCAATGCCCAGTTTGCCATTGTTACTTGCTATTCCTGACCGATTGCCAATAGTAGTGCTTATTTCTAAACTTGTTTTGTAATGGTAAACGGCTTTATCATATTCTCCTAAACGTCGATAGGCATTGCCCAAATTGCCATTGTTACTTGCTATTCCTGACCGATCGCCAATAGCAGTGCTTATTTCTAAACCTGTTTTGTAATGGTCAATGGCTTTCTGATATTCTCCTAAACATGCATAGGCATTGCCCAAATTGCCATTGTTACGTGCTATTCCTGACCGATCGCCAATAGCAGTGCTTATTTCTAAACCTGTTTTGCAATGGTCAATGGCTTTCTGATATTCTCCTAAACTAAGATAGGCATTACCCAAATTGCCATTGTTACTTGCTATTCCTGACCGATCGCCAATAGCAGTGCTTATTTCTAAACCTGTTTTGTAATGGTCAATGGCTTTCAGATATTCTCCTGAACTAAGATAGGCATTGCCCAAATTGACATTGTTACTTGCTATTCCTGACCGATCGCCAACAGCAGTGCTTATTTCTAAACTTGTTTTGCAATGGTCAATGGCTTTCTGATATTCTCCTAAACGTCGATAGGCATTGCCCAAATTGCCATTGTTACTTGCTATTCCTGACCGATCGCCAATAGCAGTGCTTATTTCTAAACCTGTTTTGTAATGGTCAATGGCTTTCTGATATTCTCCTAAACTAAGATAGGCATTGCCCAAATTGCCATTGTTCCTTGCTATTCCTGACCGATCGCCAATAGCAGTGCTTATTTCTAAACCTACTTTGCAATGGTCAATGGCTTTCTGATATTCTCCTGAACTATGATAGGCATTGCCCAAATTGCCATTGCTAATTGCTATTCCTGACCGATCGCCAATAGCCGTTCTTATTTCTAAACTTGTTTTGTAATGGTCAATGGCTTTCTGATATTCGCCCAAATATTCATAGGCATTGCCCAAATTGCCATTGCTACTTGCAATTCCTGACCGATCGCGAATAGCCGTGCTTATTTCTAAACTTGTTTTGTAATGGTCAATGGCTTTCTGATATTCTCCTAAACTATGATAGGCACTGCCCAAATTGCCATTCTTACTTGCTATTCCTGACCGATCGCCAATAGCAGTGCTTATTTCTAAACCTGTTTTGTAATGGTCAATGGCTTTCTGATATTCTCCTAAACTAAGATAGGCATCGCCCAAATTGCCATTGTTACTTGCTATTGCTGACCGATCGCCAATAGCTGTGCTTATTTCTAAAGCTGTTTTGCAATGGTCAATGGCTTTCTGATATTCTCCTAAACATGCATAGGCATTGCCCAAATTGCCATTGTTACGTGCTATTCCTGACCGATCGCCAATAGCAGTGCTTATTTCTAAACCTGTTTTGCAATGGTCAATGGCTTTCTGATATTCTCCTAAACTAAGATAGGCATTACCCAAATTGCCATTGTTACTTGCTATTCCTGACCGATCGCCAATAGCAGTGCTTATTTCTAAACCTGTTTTGTAATGGTCAATGGCTTTCAGATATTCTCCTGAACTAAGATAGGCATCGCCCAAATTGACATTGTTACTTGCTATTCCTGACCGATCGCCAACAGCAGTGCTTATTTCTAAACTTGTTTTGCAATGGTCAATGGCTTTCTGATATTCTCCTAAACGTCGATAGGCATTGCCCAAATTGCCATTGTTACTTGCTATTCCTGACCGATCGCCAATAGCAGTGCTTATTTCTAAACCTGTTTTGTAATGGCCAATGGCTTTCTGATATTCTCCTAAACGTTCATAGGCATTGCCCAAATTGCTATTGTTACTTGCTATTCCTGACCGATCGCCAATAGCAGTGCTTATTTCTAAACCTGTTTTGTAATGGTCAATGGCTTTCTGATATTCTCCTAAACTAAGATAGGCATTGCCCAAATTGCCATTGTTACTTGCTATTCCTGACCGATCGCCAATAGCAGTGCTTATTTCTAAACCTGTTTTGTAATGGTCAATGGCTTTCTGATATTTTCCTAAACTAAAATAAGCATTGCCCAAATTGCAATTCTTACTTGCTATTCCTGACCGATCGCCAATAGCAGTGCTTATTTCTAAACCTGTGTTGTAATGGTCAATGGCTTTCTGATATTCTCCTAATCTAAGATAGGCATTGCCCAAATCTCCATTGTTATTTGCTATTCCTGACCGATCGCCAATAGCAGTGCTTATTTCTAAACCTGTTTTGTAATGGTCAATGGCTTTCTGATATTCTCCTAAACTAAGATAGGCATTGCCCAAACCTCCATTGTCATTTGCTATTCCTGACCGATCGCCAATAGCAGTGCTTATTTCTAAACCTGTGTTGTAATGGTCAATGGCTTTCTGATATTCTCCTAATCTAAGATAGGCATAGCCCAAACCTCCATTGTCATTTGCTATTCCTGACCGATCGCCAATAGCAGTGCTTATTTCTAAACTTGTTTTGTAATGGCCAATGGCTTTCTGATATTCTCCTAAACGGTCATAGGCACTGCCCAAACCTTCATTGTTACTTGCTATTCCTGACCGATCGCCAATAGCAGTGCTTATTTCTAAACCTGTTTTGTAATGGTCAATGGCTTTCCGATATTCTCCTAAACGTTGATAGGCATTGCCCAAATTGCTATTGTTACTTGCTATTCCTGACCGATCGCCAATAGCAGTGCTCATTTCTAAACCCGTTTTGCAATGGTCAATGGCTTTCTGATATTCTCCTAAACATCGATAGGCATTGCCCAAATTGCCATTGTTACATGCTATTGCTGACCGATCGCCAATAGCAGTGCTTATTTCTAAACTTGTTTTGTAATGGTCAATGGCTTTCTGATATTCTCCTAA